GTTTTTTGGGGTCTCGATGCACTTAGTTCATAATTCTTTAATAGCACTTACTAGGTTTTATTTGCTGAAGGTTGGCCTACAGCTTTCTGGGTTATAGGATCTGTCTTTGTATCTCTCAGTGTTTCATATGCCTTGCCACGTTAGGCCGCCACCCACCTGTCAGATTGTCATAATGTGGTGGCTTGTGTGTTGCTATGATGCTGGAAGCTATGCTACTAGTATTTCAAATACCAGCAAGGTTATCCATGGTGGACAGGTTTCAGCAGTGATTTCAGACTAATATAGACTAGGAAGAAAGGCCTGGTGATCTACCTCTGGAAAATAGCCAGTGAAAATCCCCTGGATCACAACAAAATATTGTCTGATAGAGTGCTGGAAGACGAGCCTCCCAGATTGGAAGGCACTCCTCCACAATGGACTCACACCTACCAATGATGCCGATGATGGTGCAGGACCAGGTAATGTTTCCTTCTGTTGTACGTGGAGTTGTCATGAGTCAAAGTTGACTCCACGGCAACTGGTAACAGCAGCAGCCATCCAAGGCATATGTTTATTGAATCGAATGACTTTGGGTAGAAAAAGACGAATAAAACACACCCATACGCACTTCTGTTCTTTTCCAATTTAAACATAAAAAAAAAAAAAACAAAAACAAGAAAATGTGTCTTTACTTTCAACATAAATAAGCTAAATAGTAAAAAGAGAACAAAAACCACTAAAAGCAAATAATCCCCTGAATCTCTTTTCTTCTCCCCAGAACCAATTGGATTAAAGAGTACTTGGACACAGCCCCTGTTTTGATTCTCATTTTCAAACAAGTACATGGTTTTGCTGCAAACGGCAAAAAGAAGGTCCACTACTACAGTGAGATCAGTGTTTCCATCTCGTGTGGCCTCCTCCTGGCTGCCTTGCAGGTATGTCCCCTCCCAGCAGCCCCCAGGCAGAGAAGCAACGCGGGAGGCCGGGGGACAAAGGTGGCCTTAGTCAAACACGTCAGCTGAGCTTCTGATTCAGGGACCTTTGGAAATTGTTTATCTAAAGTTGAGTTCCTAAGTAAGGTAACTTGATGTCAAAACTGACTCTGGAAACCTGGACTGGTGAGTGTGATGGCTCCACAAGGCAGAATTCTGCCTGGAAATTTATTTCCAACATCATTTCATGGTTAGGAAACTTGTCATTGCGTTTGTCGTCATCTGCATCAAAATGAAGCTTCGAGGGTTTTGCGGCACACACATGAAGATCTTCAGATCCTCAAAGCCACAAGGACTGAGGTCCTATGTGTGTTTACTGTTGCTATCTTAGCAGACAGGGGGCTCAAGAGCTACAAGGGGCCTTCTGTCATAGAGCTCTTTTCCCGAGAAGTTGTATTTCCATTGTATTAGAAACATATCCCTGTGCTTAAAAAATTTCCAGTACATAGTACCTAGAGCAATGCTAAGCATGAAATGGAGCAGGATTAAGACATGCCTTCCACACTATTCATTTCATTAATTCAACAAATATTAACTGAGCTCCTTCTATACGACATAATCCCTGGGTGGTG